GAAAAGACAAAGTCAAATATAATATACAAAGATCTGGAGTTAGAAAACCAAAAGGGAAGAATAAGCTCAGCATTTCTCAAGCTGAAAGAAATGAGGAAAAAATTGTAGCCTTGACCTGAAATACTGAAGGATTCTTCTATGTGCAGAAAGCATCAAAAGAAGATGAAAGGTATACACAGAGTCACTATGCTAAAAAGAAATGGTCAGGAAAAAAAGAGAATGGGGGGTTTTCTTGATAAAAGAAACTATGAGGGCTTTGGGGGGAGGAAGAAATGATACATACGCTAGAGAGGAAACACACATTGATGTGGGTGATGGGGAGGCAATATACAACCGGAGGAAGGTTGGCAGAGGAAAGATGGGGGTGGCGGGAGACACAGGGAGGAATGCAGCAGTTAGAGTGAATTGAGGTAAATGCTATTAATTGTTGGTGCATGAAGGGGATTGCAAATATATAATGAAGCAAAGTATATGATTTGTTGAATGTAAAACTGATGATATGCTCTGTAAACCTTCACTGAAAAGTTTAAAAAAAAAAGAGAGAGATGATTGGTGGTTAACTATTTCAAGAGGTGGCATATGATCAAGAAGTGATGGTACTGAAGGAAGAAGTCCAAGCTGCACTGAAGACATTGGCAAAAGGCTCCAGGAATTGATGGGATACAAATTGAAATCTTTCAACAAACTGATGTAGCACTGGAGGTGCTCACTCATCTATGTCAAGAAATTTAGAAGACAACTAACCTGGCCAGCTGATTAGAAGAAGAGTCCCATATTGTGCCCATTCCAAAGAGATGTGACCCAATGGAATTCGGATATAATCGAACAATATCAATATCACATGCAAGTAAAATTTTTCAGAAAATAATTTAAAAACAGTTGCAACAGTACATCAACAGTGAAAAGCCAGAAATTTAAGCCAGACTCAGAAGAGGACGTGAAACAAGGAATATCATTGCTTACATCAAATGAATCTTGGCTGAAAACACAAAACACCAGAAAGATATTTACTTGTGCTTTTTACTATGCAAAGGCTTTCCACTGTGTGGATCATGATAAGCTGTGGATAATATTGCAAAAAATTAGTATTCCAGAATACTTAATTGTGCTCAGGAGGAATGTTATAAAGACCAAGAAGCAGTTTTTAGAACAGAACAAGGGAACACTGAATGTTTTAAAATCAGGAAAGTGTGCTCCAGGGTTGTATTCTTTCACCATACTTATTCAGGCTATATGCTGAGCAAATAATCCAAGAAACTGGGTTATATGAAGTAGAACATGGCATCAAGATTGAAGGAAGATTCAATAACAATATGCCATATGCAGATGATACAGCCTTACTTGCTGGAAGTGAAGAAGACTTAAAATACTGACTGATGAAAATCATCAACTACAGTCTTCAGTATGGGTTGCACCTCAGTGTAAAGAAAACCCAAATCCTCACAACTGGGCCAATAAATAACATCATGATAAATGGAGAAAAGATCAGAGTTGTCAAAGACTTCATTTTGCGTGGATCCACAATCAACACTCATGGAAACAGCAGTCAAGAAATCCAATGACGTATTGCATTAAGCATATCTGTTGCACAAGACCTCTTTAAAGTGTTCAAGAGCAATGACTAATGCACATCTGATATTTTCAATACTATCATATGCATGTGAAAGTTAGACAATGAATAAGGAAGACCATTGAGTTATGGTGTTGGACAAGAGTATTAAAGTACCACAGATTGCTCAAAGAACCAACAAATCTCTGCTGGAAGAAGTGCAGCCAGAGTGTTCATTAGAAGCCAGATGGTGAGATTTCATTTTTCATACTTCAGACATGTTATCAGGAGAGACTTATGCCTGAAGAAGGGCATCGTGCTTGGTAAAGTAGAGAGTCAGTGAAAATGAGGAAGATCCCCAACAAAATAGGTCGGCACTGTTGCAGCAGCAGTGTGCTCAAGCAGAAGAACATCGATTGTAAGGATGATGCAGTATCAGGCAGTGTTTCGTTTTGTTGTGCATACGGTAGCTATGAGTTGGAGTCGACTCAGCGGCAACTAACAACAGCATACTAAATGGAAGAAGACCTGGTGGTGCAGTGGTTAAGTGCTTGGATGTTAACCTAAAGGTCAGTGGTTCTAATCCATCAGACACTCCACAGGAGAAAGATGTGGCTATCTGCTTCCGTAAAGATAATAGCCTTGGAAACCCTATGGGGCAGTTCTACTCCATCCTATGGGGTCACTATGAGCCAGGTTTGACTTGACTGCAATGAATGTGGGTTTTGGTTTATACTAAATGGAGGAAGACAATATGAGAAAGTGGTAAAAATTAGGTGTTGGAGTCAGATCAACCTAAGTAACCTTGGGCAAGTTGTTTACCCTCTAAGACTCATCTTCTTCATCTATAAAATGGGGGGTGGGGCTTATGTATCTTGTATTTGTAGGGAAGAATCGTGTATTAGAAAGAGCATGGGCCGACAGTAGGCATTGCATAGATTAAGAGTCAAATCCTAGTTCTTGCTTGAGTGACCTGAAGCAAGTTGCCTAGCTATTCTGAACCTCATTTTTATTTTTTTATCCACAAAGAGGGACTGGTCATAGCTACCATCCAAGATTGTCATGAGGCATTGTGTACATATAGCACCTGTACAATGTTTGTCACATAGTAGGCATTCAGCAAGTAGTATCTGTTATTGTTGTATGTGATATACTTTTCATATTATTATTTAATCATTACAACAGTTCTATGGAGTGGAAGAGGGGAAAAGGCAGAAATGAAGAATCGGGCTGAGTTTGACCATGTTCCATAGACTCCTATTGACCTGGAGATGAGAGAGAGATGAGGCAGGGCTGCTTGGTCCAAAGTATGGGGACACCTGAGCCCATGGACAAGGACATAGTCACGGAGGGCTAGAGCTGAGAGTGAAGCATCCAGCTGATGTGAAGTGAGGGGAGACGTAGAAGAACACCCATACTTGTAGATAGTACCCATTTGACCTAACTTCGATAATTTGATGATCAGAATTGGACTAAAGAAAGATTAAAACAATTTTTGATAAAGGAAACAAGTGTAAATTGCTACAATTTGATGAGCTTGACCTATACTTATGGATGTAGTAGCTCAAAATACCAACTGAGAGGGAAGGAGTCTTCACATCAAGTATCAATCCCATCCCCTCCGTATACAGGGTTGGTAGGGACGGGCAACTTAGGCATCGGCTACCTAAAATGGGGGACTATAAATCACAAAGTGGCTGGCTTACAAGTTGTCAAGAGGAAGTCTAGTTTCAGAGTGTGTGGGGAAGCTAGAGACCCCACTGAATAGTTTTCATCTTGTCTATATGGGTCTGATGAAAAGAGATGGGGATAAGATTCTTAGGATTCAATAGTGAGTAATTGTTATCAAGACTAATTGCAATTGTCACAACTGTAAAGGCTTAAGTTCTGTAGCAAAAAGGGGAAAGTAGTTCATCTTACAGTGCAGAAACAGAGGACTGTAGGACCATCAAGGGAGAGGAGCACAAGCAGAATGTGGGACCCTAGAGAAACAGCGACACCAGAGATGGAGGCAAAGGTGAGGACATAGAGCAGCTGAGGATGCTAGATTCATGGAAAGAGAAAGGAGGTGTGCTGATCTGCAGGAGGCAGGCTTGCCCTTTGGTTGTTTAAATGATTATATATTCCTGAGTGTTTTTTAGTACATCCCTTCCCCCACACACACACACAAAAATAAATAAAACAAAACAGAGGGAATAGAAGCAAATACTGTTAAATGATGATGCAGGGAGAGGATTGTAATCATTCTAATGAAATGATGAGTATAAAACTGATGTTCTTCCATGTAAATCATCACTCAATTCACAATAAAAACTAAAACAACAACAACAAAAAACACCCCCCACAACAGTTCTATGAGGTAGTAAGGGTAGGTTTATTCCTTTTTTTCAGCTTAGGAAATGAGGACAAGAACAGCCAAGTGATTTTTTCATGGTATTTACCTACTTTTTGTAGAGTCGGTACTAGAAAAAGTCCTCTGACTTTGGAGCTTTTTCCTCTACAGCTTTTCCTTATAAATAAATGTTGGAGTGAATGGATTGATGTTCGAAAATAAGATTCCTTTTAGCGTCTACTTTGACTCCACTAAGACTCTTAGTACAGGTTGTCACAAAACACATAAGATATTTGAGTTAGAATAGAAATACTGTTCTCACCTCCAATCGGAACGACTTTAAATCTGTTCCAAAAGTTGGTTCTGAGATTCTTGATTTACTCTGATCTTTATTCAAGTGTCTCCTGAAGGTCCATGAAATAGGTACTCTAACCCAAGAAGTGATGACGGTTTATTTAGGTTCCCTTTTGTGCACAGTTCTTATACCCAAAGATGCTTCTTGCCCTTGTTGTTTTGTTGTTGTATGCCGTTGAGTCGTTTCCAACTCATAGTGGCATTGTAGAGGCTTTCCAAGACTATGTGAGCAGAAAGCCTCATCTTTCTCTGGCAGAGCAGCTCGTCTATTCAAATTGCTGACCTTGCAGTTAGCAGCACAATGCATAACCCACTACACCACCAGGGTTTTTCTTCCCTTGTTGTTGTTGTCAGGTGCCATCGAGTCGGAACCGACTCATAGCGACCCCATGCATAGCAGAACGAAACAATGTCCGATCCTGGGCCAACCTCACTACCACTGCCACATTTGATGCCATCAATGATGCCACCTGGCCGATCCATCTCATTGGGGGTCTTCCTCTTTTTCTCTGACCCTCCATTTTACCCAGCATGACATCCTTCTCCAGCGACTGTTCCCTCCTGACAACATGTCCAAAGTATGAGAGACGAAGTTTGGCCATCTTGGCCTCCAAGGAGCGCTCTGGCTGCACTTCTTCCAAAACAGATCTATTGGTTTGTCCCCTTGCTTATCCAAAAATCTGTCTGAGATGCAGTTACTTTTATAGGAAGCAATCTGTGCTCTTGGAGTATGTGTGGTGGAGTGTCTTTGTTGTGTTGTTTCAGGTTGATGAAAAGCCCGGAACTCTGATGACGGATTGTCTGGCGATAAAGAATTTTTTACGCAAAGTCATCATAGTGCACCCTAAGGTGAGCCATGCTATTTGAACAGTTGTGCTTCTTTTGTATTAATCTCTGTTTTCAAGAGACCTCTAGTCTATAGGACCCGAAAGGGTCTGGTTAGTTTTCTGCATTTTAATGATGATGATTAAAACTTTTTGAGACTGAATTGATTTGTGTTTATATCTTCAAGGCCTTCTTAATGTTGGTGATATGACATAATTGAAAGGCCTCTGGATATAGAGAGAACTTTGGGGTTCTGTCTTCACTCTCTACCACTTTATTGTCTCACCTTGGGGAGTAAGCCTTGACAATCAGCACCTTCTTTTCTACATGAAGAGAAGAGCAGGATAAGGGCGTTTTGGTACAATACTTTGAACTTTGGAGTGGTAACAATCTAAACTTAGGCAGTCTGACTCTACAGTCTATTATTACCTTTCATGTTATGTAGGAAAAAAAAAATGTAGGTTGAACATGGGAAATAATGTAAAACAATGATGTAAATTGGAGGAAGGATACAAAAATCAGATAGGGGCAAGGGAAAAAAAAGCAAAGAAAAAACCTGACTGTCTCAGGTATGGAGATACTAGAAAGAAGAGAGAGAAAAAAGTGATTGTTGTTGTTTGCCACAGAATCTATTCCAACTCAGGGTAACTTCAAGTATACTGAACATTGTTATTGTGTGTCGTCGAGTCATTTCTGACCCACAGTGACCCTGCATAGAGTTTCCAAGGAGCAGCTGGTGAGATTGGATGGCCAACATTGCAGTTCAAACCGACTTGGCAGTTTAGCTCATTAACCAACAGCACCATACCAGGACTGCTCAGTTCTGTTTTCAAGACTGTGACCTTTTGGAAGCAGATCACTAGGCCTTACTTCTGAGGTGCCTCAGGGTGGGTTTGAACAGTCAACCTTTCTGTTAGCAATCCAGCACTTAAACATTGTGCCACCCAAAAACTCCTTAGAAAACAGAAGGACGAGGTTAGGAAAACAACAGAGGGCAAAAGGGCAGGACTTTCGATAATTTGTAACTCTTGAGAATTGTGGTTGCTGTTGTTAAATGCTGTCAAATTGGTTCCAACTCATAGCAACCTTGCATAGGGTTTCTGAGGAGCAGCTCGTGGGTCTGAACCGCTGACCTTGTGGTTAGCAGTCCAGTGCTTATCTGGAAACACCACACCAGGACTCTAGATTTGTGGTGGTGGTGGTGGCAGTGGTGGTGGCAGTGACAGTGGTGGTGGTGTGCCACCGAGTCAGTTCCGATTCATAGCAATCCTGTTTCCAATTCATAGCAACCCTGTATAGGTTTTCAGAGGCTATAAATCTTTATGGGAGCAGAAGGCCTCATCTTTCTTCTGAGAAGCAGCTGGTAGATTCGAACTGCTGACCTTGGGGTTAGCACCCCTGCTACCAGGGAGAACTCAATATATTTAAGAATCAGAATTTGAATATAGGCTGTGTTACATATTAATTGAAAAGGTACAAATTAAAAACAACCAATTTTCCAAAGTCTTCTTAAAATCAAACATTTAGTTTAACTTGTAAAAAAATGTCTGTCATAAGCATTATGCTCTTTTAAGATCTATCTATACGGGACCAGAGAGACAACATCAAAGTAACTCAAAAGAGTAGATGCTAAGACCCTTAGGGTTTCTGTTCGAGTTTGTGTTAATGCGGGAGGAACAAGTCAGAGAAGGAGGGTGAGAATGGACACTCTGAGAGTATAATCAGTGTCACCGGATTGTACACGGAGAAATGGTTGAAATGGTTTCTGTTTTGCTGTATACATTCTCAATAGCAACAAAATAAATAGAATTTAAGGAAAAACATAAAACACCATTGCTGTTGAGTTGATCCCTACTGTGTAACCTATGTCTTATATAGGTTACAAAATCAATCAATCAATATAGTGTGTGTGTGTGTGTTTTAGTTTTTATTGTGAATTGAGTGATAGTTTATATGGGAGAACATCGCTTTTACACTCATCATTTCATCATTCAACAGTATTTGCTTCCATTCCCTCTGGTTTTGTTTTTTTTTTTTGTTTTTTTGAGGGGGGATGTACACAAAAACACTCAGGGATTTAAACAACCAAAGGTCACATTCTGCAAGCCTGCCTCCTAGCCTCCAGCACACAGCCTTTCTCTTTCCATGAGTGTAGAGTCCTCAGCTGCTCTCTCTCTCCATGACCCATCTCTGCCTCCATCTCTGGTGTCGCTGCTTCTCTGGATAGGGTCCCACATTCCGCTCGTGCTCCTCTTCCTTGATGGTCCTATGCCCCTCTGTTTCGGCACTGTAAGATTAACTACTCCCTTCTTTATGTTACAAAACTTCTATCTTTACAGTTGTCACAGTCACAATTAGACTTGATAACAATTACTCACTATTGAATAATAAGACTCTTATTCCCATCTCTTTTCACCAGATCCATCTAGACAAGATGAAAACTATTCAGTAGGGACTCTACCTTTCCCCACACATTCTTATACTAAACTCCCTCTCGAGAACTTGTAAGTCAGTCAGTTCATGCCTTTATCACCCACTCATTTTAGGTAGCCAATGTGTAAGTTGCCTGTCCCTATCACCCCGTATACAGAGGGGATAGGATTGGTAGTTGATGTGAAGACTCCTTCCCTCTCAGTTGGTATTTTGAACTACTGCATCCATAAGTATAGGTTAAGTTCATTAAATTGTAGCAATTTATACTTGTTTCCTTTATCAAAAATTGTTTTTTTTTATCTTCCTCTTGTAAAGTTCTGATCATCAAGTCATTAAGGTTAGGTCATATAGTCAATCAATATAGTTTTAAAGGTGGTAAAGAATGTCTTTTACTTTAGGCACAGGGCATGGAAGTTCTGAATGTCTATTATGGTTCATGTTAAATCTCACACTTCATTCATTGTTGTGGCAGATCGGATTTCATTTCAACGTAAAAGTGAATGGAACCCTGTCCACGGAGACCTTCAGGTAAGTCCTGGTTTGAGAAGATGCTGTGGCTCTGCAGTTTTTCTCAGTTCTCATTGAACAATTGCCAGGGGGGCACAGTTTGATTTTTTGACCCAGGGGTACCCTGAAACTAATTTTCTGAGAGCCACGCTTTCTTGTTCTATATCAGCTTTTAATAAATAGATTCATCTACAGCGTTCCTGGTATTCCTTTTTATTAGGATTGTTGTTGTTGTTAAGTGACATCGAGTTGGCTCTGACCTGCATAAGAATTCTGAGGAGAAGCTGTTGGGTTTGAACTGCTGCCCTTGTAGTTCACAGTCCAGTGCCGATCCTACAGTAGCAGTTAAAAATCGCCATTTTTCTCTTAGTGAATAGGTTACTGAATTCCAATAGTTTCTGGGGTGGTAGTGACTCATGAACCAAAATTTCATCAGGCAGAGATTGATTTTAGGATTTTTAACATCTGGCTTCACTTTGCTTTGCAGGGTAGAGAATGAACCCATTTTCAACCTACCGAATGGAATGGCTCTTATCGTAAATGATCAGCTTTATGTGAGGTGACAAGGAAAAGCATTTTAACCGTCTCCTTTTTCTGCTCTCCTGTTGAAAGTATGAATTTGGGTCGAAGTTGGAATGGTCTTACTTGTCATTTCTTAGTTCCAGGGGTCAGCTTCTCAAGTAAAACTTTTATGCTACTATTGTTGAAAATTATTATTCCTGGCTCCTAAAATATATTATGACCCAAAGACATGTTCCTTTTCCTCTGCAAGCCTTCTTTTCATCTGTAGATGAAATAAAACAAACCCTGCCAATTCCCATCCCACTTAGACACGAGAAGAGAGTTGTGTAGATGTAAAATATATGTGACCTCTTGGCTAGAGAGATACTGTGAATACAAAGGAATGCTTTGTATGCAATTTGTTATGCATCAGCATTTTGCACAAGTTTGGAAATCAGCTCTTTTCTCACCTTTACCTTCTTCAGACTTAAAAAATTAATCCATGAGGTGGTAAGTAATTTAGAACAGCCAAACCCTTCAACCTTTCCTTTTTGTACCATCTAATTACCATAGAATACAAATAGCTTGAATTCTAGCAAGAAAATACCTAGCTTATGCTTACGTCCAACTAATTTATTCTTTATTAAGTAGTTTCTGCCTCCGTTCATATACTTAGAGTCAACACTAGTAGTCATCATAAGATTAAACTTGAAGAAATGGCCCAGGGCTCCTTTAGTCTGTTTGCTTGCTCTTGCCCTAACTTGCACCTCAAATTAGAATACTTTTTTATTATTTTCTATATACAGATAACAAAAGTCCCCACCCCACATCTTTTTTTAGTACTCTTCTTATAACATCCAAAGGAGCCCTTGTGGCACAGTGGGTTAAGCATTGGGCTGCTAACTACAAGGTCAATGGTTCAAACCCACTAGCCACTCCACAGGAGAATGATAAGGCTGTCTGCACCTGTATAGATTGAGTCTCAGAAACCTGAAAGGTGACCCTGTACTGTAAGGCTGCATCGACTCTGCTAGTTAGGTTGTTGGCTTTTATTTTTTAGTATCATACAGTCCTTATAGGTAAGCAGCGCATTATCCGAATGCTGTGCAAACGTTACCACTTTCTAATCCCAAACATTTTCATCACCCCCAGAGGAGGCATCATTCTCTCCTCCCCAGCCCCTAATCTGCTTTATGTCTATGAATTTGCCTTTTCTTGATTTGTCATATAAATGGAATCATAGCTATATCTGGTTTCATTGGGACTTCATTCTTTTTTATGGCTAAATAACGTTCTGTTGTTTGAATATAACATATTTGGTTTTCTATCATCTGCTGATTGTTTGCATTGTTTCTACATTTTGGCTGTTGTGAATTGCACTGCTCTGACCTTTGGTGTACATGATTTGTTTGAATATCTGTTTTCCATTCTTTTGGGTATACACCTCAGAGTAGTATTGCTGGGTCATAGGATAGTTCTCTGTTTCACTTTTTATGTAAGTTTAACTTACCTAATACCAAATAGTTCCACAAAGGCTGTGCCATTTTACATTCTTACCAGCAATGCATGTGGGTTTTAATGTCTCCATATTTTTACCAACACTTTTTATTACAGTAATACTTGTGAGAGACAGAACTTGAGAAGACTATCTCATTTTTCCAGGTCTTGCAAGTTTTCTGGCTTTGACAGGGTAGGGTCTTACCATTTTTGGCACTGTAGGATAAGCACTAGCCTGTTAACCACAAGGTCGGAAGTTCCAACCCATACCAGCCGCTCCTTGGAAGCCTTATACATGGTCTCTATGAGTCAAAACAGTCAAAACGGCACTTAACAACAACTAGTACTGGAAAACATTTCCATTTTCCTTCTCTGGAAGCTTTCTACCTACACAGGCCCTAGCTTTCACAGGCTTTACTGTATTATTTTTATTATAGCCACACTGTTGTTGTTAAGGGCCATTGAGTTGGTTCCGACTCACAGTGACCCTGTATAGGGTTTCTGAGGAGTAGCTGTTGGATTTGAACTGCTGACCTTATGGTTGCCAGTCCAGTGCTTATCCTACACCTCCACACCATCACCATACTGATGGATGTGAGGTGGTATCTCATTGTGGTTTTTATTTGTATTTCCCTATTGATAATGATAGAGTCCTCTTGGTGTGACACTGTAGAGTAAGCACTGGACTGCTAACCCCAAGGTCAGCAGTTCAAACACACCAGCTATTCCTTGGAAACCCCATACAAAGTCACCATGAGTTTGAACTGACTCAATGGTCTTTAATAACATAACAACAATAATGACTAATGATGTTGAGCATTTCTCATGTATATATTGGCCCTTTGTATCTCTTCCTTGGAGAATGTCTATTCAACTCCTTTGTCCATTTATAAAAGTAAGGTTGTTAGTCTTTTTTGTTGTTGAGTTGTAACTGCTTTGGATCTGTTCTGGATATTAGACTCTTACCAGACATATTTAATTTCTTAAGTGGAAATAAAAGTTTAATTTCTCCCCCCTGGTTTCCGACAGTAGACCAGAATTTGGTCCAACTGGATTCCTCGGCAGCAGAATTCACCCTGTGCCAGGAGAGCCGGTCACACTTTCCATCCCTGATGATGTAGCTGACTTGAGCCTGCTGGGGGAGCTGATACTGACGCCAGTTGCTGCTCTGTGCCCCTGTCCGAAGGCCTTTTCCAAACAGACCAAAAGGATTTCTTCACTTTCTATATCCTTTTAATGAGAAGTCATCCAGTTGTCTTAAAAATGTGCTTCTTTTTTTAAAAAAATTATAGTACTTTAAATAACAACCCCAGAAAAACAAAATGTGTTTCTAAATCCAAATTTGAAGAAAGCCTTTAGCATATGAACTCTGTGTGTTTAGAAGCATGTAGCCCAGGAACTTAGGGCTTTAGCCACAGGTTCCTCTTGAGTCCCTGACATGTATTAGCATATGTTGGCCCAAGTTTTTCTTTGTATTTGGGGAAAACAATGCTGCTATCTCTGATCTTAGGAGCTTTGAGAAAGCCAGGCAGATGTAAGATTTATGACACATCTCTAAAATTACTTACAATGGGGTAAAAGACAATTCAGAGAGAGTGAAGCACAAAAAAGTTTGTTGTGGTAAAAGCAGAAACTGAACTCACACTGTCCATTTTCTATCCATGCCCTCTCTGCTTGACCTTCATTGCTCAACTTCTCAGGGTTGTTGCACCATTAACACTCACATGCAGGAAGACTGATTCTTAAAAGTAGTAATACCCGTGTGTTACAGTTTACCAGATGAGTGCCTCCGTTCTTTAAAACAATGTGGAAAAGTTTCAACTTATAGGTTTATCAGGATTCATTGGTTTAACATTCAAAGGCTATATTGATTCATTTCATGGATCACACTAGCCTAAGAATGTTATTCTACTGAGGAACTAAAAATTCAACAGGGTGAGAACAACGGGCATCTAACTTTGTAGTTAGAACGAGCATTGGGTTTGAAATCAGAAAGCATGCTGTTTGACTTTGAACTCATTACTTAAACTCTCTGGACCTCAGCTTCTAGCTTTAAAAACTCCATGCTTCTGGCTCTAAGTCATTCAAATTGTTATTTTAATAAACATTTGTTTGAAAAGCATTTTAATTTACTCAGTATGTGTAAGGCTTTATTAGATGCGGAGGCAGGTTATATCTTTAAAAGCTTGTAGGCTAAGAAGAAAAGACACAGGGACTCAAATAACTGTAGAAAGAAGGCCTGGACATTATTATGTGCTGTGAGAGGCAGAGTACTTTGAAAGCCCAGAAGCAGGAGTAACAGTCAAAAGACTATGCCTAGCAGAGCACCATGGATGGTTAAATAATGAAGTTAACATTCCTTTGAAAGGAGGACATTTCTGTTAGACAGAATCACATGTGCAAAGGTCTATATGGTTTGTATTTTTAAAATGCTCTTTATTATCATTTAGACAGTACCAAAGAGAATAAAGTAAAATAAGTTTTTTATCCCATTTTCCAGAGGAAATAAGACAGACAAATTTTCTTTCCTCTCCAACTTTTATTTTGGTGGTAAAAAATTAACAAAAGCATGTAGCATGTCAGGTGTGATAGTGATAAAAGAGGGTAGGTTATTAAATGCAGATTATTCATCTTCAGGGTCCCTAGAAATTAGCACAGTGTGTGGCCCATCGCCATAAAAGGAAACAAACAAGCAGAAAAAAAGCTACTGCCATTGGCTCAGTGCTGACTCAAAGTTACCCTGTACAGTTCCCAAGGCTCTCAGTGCTGATGGGAGCAGAAAGCAACAGATGGGTTTGAACTGCTTACTTTAAGACTAGCAGTCTAGTGCTTATCAAATCTATCATAGAATAAATAGAATGAATAAGTAAGCTCATCATCCCAGCACTGTACCTGTAGCTCACACTCATTAAGTCTAGAACCGATTTCTGGGGATTCTGGGGGATTCATCTCTGGTGCTTCACACCTAGCTCTGTGTAAAAAACGCTTAATACGTAATTGCCTGGCACTTTGTTTATTTCTGGGAGTCTAAAACAGGTCAAGTTATATGTGTTTTATACAAGGGAACACATAGTCCTTAGAAACTAAAATTGGACGATTTTCTTTAACAACTGTACATATTTCTCTATGGACCTTCAGGTTTGCCTCTGATATTGCCAAGTCAGCAGCAGCCAGCTACTGTCTTCACCGATATCTCTTGTTTCATTGACTGGAAGAAATACCACTTGTATGTGGCATCCAATTTGGATTTTAACTTGGACAGAGGTAGAGCTCAATCTCTCTGCACAGAAATAAAGAAACTTGGAGATTATCAAAGAAATGTAGGGAAATGCAAGTAGGCGCTATATATTGGCATAGGATGCAGAGCTCTGAAGCTTCAGTTGGGATGGGATGGTCTGGTCAGATATGAGAGTTCGTTTGGAGTGAGGCCGACAGGGCAGAAAGCTCCATCAGATCCTAGCCATTTTGGCAGGTGGATGCTGTTTCTCCCCTCATGCCCACTTCTGCTGCCTGTACTCCTGGGGGCTTTTTATCTTCTAGGGACTTGTTTGGGGCTTTTCCTCAATATATCTTAATTCCAGACCTACAAGAGAGATACCTCCACATGGATCCTGATTCTGTCTTTTAAAGTAATGCGGGAGGAGAGGAGGGGGACATTCTCTACACTATTCATTTCTAAAGTCAGCTGAGAAAGTTCAGGCATCGCAAAATGGCAAAACATGAAGGAAAGCAAACATTCTTTCCTCACTTAACCTCCAAAGAATGTTCGACCTGTTAAGAGGAGATGTCATGCCTTCAGGATTTTGTAATAGAGGGGTAACCTAGGTCAATCTCCATGGCTCCCGATGTCACATTTTGATTTTCAAACTTTGTTGCTTTCCTTCATGCCTTGCCATCTTACGATGCCTGAACTTTCTCAGCTGACTTTAGAAATGAATAATGTACAGAATGTCCCCTCCTCTCCTCCCTCATTACTTTAAAGGACAGAAGAATCAAGATCTATGTGGAGGTATCTCCCTGTATGGGACTGGAATTTAAGACTGTCCTGACTGCATTCTAAAGGGTCTCTGTGCCAGAAAGCTACTGTCTGGTGTTGGATGACTTGGGATTGTGGTTAAGAGCACTTGGTTAAGAGTCAGCCCCACTGCTTCCTATCTCACATTGGGCAGGGCATTCCTTTAACCGATCTGTGCCTTTTTTCTTGTCTGTAAATTGGGCATGAGACTAGATCCTGTCTGCACAGTGTTATAAAGTCTATGTGATGAGAGAGCACATGCAAAGAATTTCCTATGGTAGCTGGCATGTTGTAAACATTCCGTACAAGTTAGTTGATTACTCAGTTTGAATCTGACCTCTGCCTCTGACTAGCAGATACCTAGTATTGAAGTGAGACACCTCCCTTAGAAAGTTGTATGCGGCATAAATGAACTTGACATATAATTCTTGCTCAGTAAATGCAACAGAAATGTTTGATCTGCATTTTAGCGTAGTGGTTACGAATCGGGCTGCGAACCTTAAGGTCAGCGGTTCGAAACTACCAGCCACTCCGCGGGAGAAAGATGAGGCTTTCTACTCCCGTAAAGATTTACACCCTCGGAAACCCTGTACAGGGTCGCTATGGGTCGGAACCGACTCGATGGCACTTAACAACAACATTACTAGGTTGTTTCTCCTATGACTTGTGTTTTCATGAGGCTAGAGAAATAGGGTCAGGAGGAGAAGGGATCTCTTATTCTCAGATCCTTTTTGTTCAGGACATAGGTTCTTCAGTTGCTTAGTATTTTGAGGGCTTTACTTGTTTTACATAGGAGCCCTGATGGTGCAGTGACTAAAGCAGTTCACTGCTAACGGAAAGATCAGTGGTTCAAAGCCACCAGCTGCTGTGTGGGAGAAAGATGTGGCAATCGGCTTCCATAAAGTTGACAGACTTGGAAAACGTAGGACAGTTCTACTCTGTCCTTGAGGCTCTATAAGGGTTAGGGTGGGCTTTGGCTTGGTTCTTACCTTAGAACACTGGGTCATGCCTTGTCCTTTAGATACGGTGCTTCCAGATATGAGTTACCAGGTGGAATCCCTTGAGAGGCATCTGTCTCAGAACACGGACCCTCAGGGACAGACTCTGCTGCTTTTCCTCTTTGTGGATTTCCACAGTGGATTTCCGGTCCAGCATATGGAACTCTGGGGTAAGTATAGGAGAATGGGGCTGCCGCTTCTGGTGCCCTTAAATGCTAAGGGCATTCATCGAAATGATAGCACCTGCATTTCTATAGAATGACACATTTCAGTGAAAAACCTTGCTTAAATAAATTAAACAAAGGTTATGTTGTTGTTGTTTGTTGTTAAGTGCTGTTGAGTCAGTTTCAACTCCTAGTGACTCTGTATAGAGTTTCCAAGGAGCAGTTGGTGAGTTTGAACCACCGACCTTGTGGTTAGCAGTTCAGTACTTATCCAGCAGTGCCATATCAGGACTCCCTGTTGTAAAGTTGCCAAGGAGCAGCTGGTGGTTTTGAACCACTGACCTTTTGGTTAGCAGTCCAGGGTGCATAATACAGCACTTCACCAGGACTTCAAAGGATGTGTTCTATGGAAAAGATGTATATCTTAATGTATCACTTCAATGATGACAGTCTCAGTTTGGTTGGCTAGAAATCTGTGTATATTTCCTGTAACACTCTAGAATGGTTATCAACTTTGCTGTTGTTGTTGTTGTTAGGTACCGTCAAGTCACTTCTGACTCTTAACAACCCCATGTGCAACATAACGAAATGCCGTCCAGTCCTAGGCCACCTGCATAGTCGTTGTTATGCTATGTATGAGCCCATTGTTGCAGTCACTGTGTCAGTCCAGCTCACTAAGGAGCTTCTTTTTCGCTGACCGTCTACTTTATCAATCATGATGTCCTTCTCCAGGGACTGGTCCCTCCTGATAACATGTCCAAGGTATGTGAGACGAAGTCTCTCCATCCTCACTTCTAAAGAACATTCTCAATATGAGCTGCACAATATAATCCCCAGAAACATCTAAAACTACCCAGCCACCATCCCCAAGGATAGGACTCTAAGCTCCCAGGATCATACTGCCTTTCCAGGTGGAGTCAGGAAATACAGCCAGCCGACTTGGCCTTGGTGCCACAGCTCCCACACAGCATGAGAAGGTGTGGGGTACTCTGGTGCGAATGGCTTTCTGTGATTGTCACACAGACCCCTGAGAAGGGACACAAGGGGTGATAACCTGACTTCAGGAAGGTTCTCTCTGTTAAGGCTGAAGGAGTGGTTTAAGATGAGTCCATGAAGTACATGTGTCAAAGTTCCCTGGAGTGTTTGCAGTTTTGCAGCTTTCTGGGCCCGTGACTATTTTGCTGTAATGTCACCCACATCTCAGGTGGCGCACGAATCTGCCTTTTAAACAACATTCCCAGGTGATTCTTAAATATAGGAAAGTTTGACAACTACTGAGTGTGAGCGTGAATTGACTTAAGCATTTTAATCCAGTAAACCTTGGGACATGAATTTATGTGTCTTTCAGTACTATCCTCAACTTTCAGGAGAGTAGTGGGAGGAAGTGACATTCGGTTTCGGGGAAGGGCCATAAACTTCTATTTCTTGGTGCTTCCAAGGTGTTTCTGTGTTCTCCTTTCTCTGTGACTAAGGACTTTCCTGGGGACTTTACTTTCCAGGCACTTCAATGCTGTTTGGGGTGGTCCTGCCCTGCTCCTACTGAATTATGGGAGAAATGAGACCACTTTCAACCCCAGCTGATGGTGCCAATGATTTGCCGAACAAACTATAGTCAGCTGTGGGGTTCTGCCATGCCTAGTCTCCCTTTCCCCAGCATATAGGTTCTCTTTTGGAAAGGAGCCCTGCTTTCTTGGGCTCCAGCTCACAGCTCTTTGTTAGAAGATCTGGTGTTCCCTAAGGAATTCTATTGGTGCAGTGGTGCTAAGCAAAAGGTCAGCAGTGTGAACCCACCAGCCCTCCATGGGAGAAAGCTGCGTCAGTCTGCTCCTGTAACGATGATAGCCTTGGAGACCCTATGGGGCTGTTCTGCTCTGTCCTACATCTTTGCTATGAAGTGGAATGGACTCCACAACGATGGGTTTGGCTTTTTGGCTTTAGTGCTCAGGCACCCTACTGTCCCATTGAGTAGACCCAAACTAATGAGACTGCTAGTAAAGGGGTCCAAGGTGAGGGCTGCGATGGTTGTTCCCTGGTTCATGCATGGTCTACACACGCAGAAGCTGATATTGTGGAAAGGACTTCAGGATAAAAACAAGAGACCTGGGTTTAATTTTAGCTTTGCCACCAGCTTCCTGGGTGATTTTTGGAATCGAGTCACATATGTCATCTGAGCCTCCTTTTACATAATGTTAACATGAGATTATTGAACTAAATGATATCAAAAAACATCCAAGAGTAAAGACTTTCAGATCTGTAATCTAAAGGGAATACAACAAATTCAATCATTCTTCTCTAGGACAACACAATCAGATAGCATCTTCTGAACTCTGTTGAAGTCTGACGCTTCTGAGCCCAGTTCCACCTATCATTCTTGTAGCCCTCTGATAACTCATGCACCTTGTGGGGGTAGCTTGGCTCCAAAGGCTTGTGATATCTCAGTGGTTGGACTCAATGATGGATTGAAAAGAAATGTTTCGCTGCATGAGTCAGTACACAAAGTGCCCCTTAGAATCTGTCCAATACCAGGTCTGGTCATCTAGGACCAGCATCTGAAGAAGATGCACAGTAAGAGTAGGTAGGTATAGAAATAGATAGACATGGGTATAGTGATTTTGTCTCCTTACCGGATTCTTTTTCATATCCTTGAAAGCTTTCTCCAGAGCGCTTTCTTTAGGAAACAGATTGTGAGGAACTACAATCTGTTTCATGCGTCTTTAGAAAAATCAGTCAATTGGCCTTCTGCCCACCTCGTCATGGTAACTTTTCTATGATTAACGCATTCTTTCGCTACAGCGTCAAAGCATCTGGTAGTATCAGCTGTTTTAGGAATGAACTTGGGACTTTGGAATTAAATGTCTGCTTTCAGAAGGTGGTGTGTCATTCAGTGGAAGCTCTACTTTCAGATTAGTTTTAGAGGGGAGCAGTTTACAGAGCCCTTTCTGAGGTGTCTTTATGTGAAGGGGCTTGCTTAGAGGACACAAATGGGAAGATGCCGAGGAGCCACAATGACCTGTCTCAAGCCAACTCATTCCTGAAGCCCATTCTTTTTTTCTTTAACAAACAGAAATGTAATCTCTCACAGTTTAGGGGACTGTTGTTGTTGTTATGTGCCGTGGAGTCAGTTCCAACTCATAGCGACCCTGTACAGGGTTTCCAAGGCTGCAAATCTTTACGGGAGCAGAAAGCCATATTTTCCCTTAAAAAATAGCACTGTACATTCCAAAGCACCTTATATATATTGTACCAGTTTATCCACACAACATAGCTGTGAGGGCAGATGATTGAAAGCCATTTTATCGTTGTGAAGTAGAGAAAAGTGAAGTGATTTGATGACCACTGGTTGGCGATCACCTGTCTGTGTAGCTACTGTTTCTTGTTCCAGACCCCTTCTGAGCTGACTACATAGTCCCTTCCCTACCAGGGAAAACTCCTGGGACCCCATGGTAGAAGATGCTCCCTCTGATTTGCATTTTTTCTTTTTTAAGTTTTTATTGTGAATTGAGTGATATTTTTTAGGAGAACATCAGTTTTACACCATCGTTTTGTTGCAATGATTGCAATCTCCTCCATGCATCATCATTCAACAGTATTTGCTTCTAATCCCTCTGTTTCGTTGTGGGGAGGGGACGTACACAGAAAAACTCAGGAATATATAAT